GAACATGACAAGAGGAGAGTAGACACGGAAGTAGCGCAAAAAATGCTTCGTTTATAAAAAAGCATTATACACAGAAGCGGAGCGGCGTTTATCCCGACATGTTTCGGCTGTGCGCCGTCAAAGCCATCATCAGGGGAATAAAGAAATGCGCTACTTCGAAAGTGAGTCACCCAAGTCCTAAATAGTAGATCGATCGCACGTACTCCCGTGCCTCTCAGTCGGGCTGGGCGCCCTGGCCCATCAGATACATCAAGAAGAGAGCAGGAAAGAAGAGAGGGAAACAACAGAGAGAGAGAGAGAGAGAGAGAGAGAGAGAGAGAGAGAGAGAGAGAGAGAGAGAGAGAGAGAGAGAGAGAGAGAGAGGGTGAACGGGGAAGAAAACATGCACAGACAAAAGGGAGAGAAAAAAACGTGGTCGTATAGAAGAGCATGGGAGTGCAGGACACCGTGGAAAACTTACACAGGTCAGAGGGGTACCGTCATCCGAAGAGAAAGAGACAACTCCTGAAGATGCAGGGTTGAGCGCGCCAGGTAAGAAAGCAGAAGCAGCCATCTGAAGACGATATGCAGGATTGGTAAGCGTTGGGGGTCGCGGGACAGAAACGCAGGTCGTAGCGCAGCCAGCATCCATGACGGGGAGATGGTGGTGGTCATATCCAACTGTCCCAATAGATCTCAGTATCGTAGATCTTGACCCTGTCCGGTAGCTGAAAACCCATATTCATTCAAAGACAGGCCTGCTGTGTCGCGCGTGGCCTTTTCCACAGTTGACTCGGCCAGGGCTGTTTTTGCAAGCCTTCAGAAAACCCTCGAAAACGGCAACGTTTGTTCCTCTCAGTATCTGTTCTCATCAACCCTTCCCCTAGGATTCGAACCCATCCCCTCCAGCAATTCCCATTTTGTTTTGAAAAATCATCCGTGGCCTTGAGAAAAAGTCTCCTTGGGAACCCCTTCATGCGTAGTTCCCTCCCATACGAAACCGGGAAAATACCCACTCCTCTATAATCAGAGGAGTGAGTCAGAATACGGTTCATCTGGCACTTCAGTAGTCCAATTTTCTGGCTTGTGGGACCGAAAGAATAGAAATCCTGGGTTGACAGAAATACAGTCTTTTGTTCAGTCCATACTACCTCCTGATTCTTTGTAGTTGCCTCACATCTCACAGTAGGCGGGTTTGTACAGCATTCGATCTTACATCCCACAAAACCCCAAATTCCGTCTCGTGAGTCCGGTCGAATAAGAGTAAGGTTTTCATGGTATAGGTAGAGGAACCGATGATAGATACTACTAGCTTTCTCGAATGCATCCTTGGTTCGATTGGGCAAAAATAAAAACAGTGCTACATCGTCAACAAGCCTAATGCCTTGGATCAAAAGCCGGTCTTTTCCTAACGATCTTAGGAAGGAGAATTCGTAGTAGACGCACAGGAGGCAAGCAAGTGCAGGGCTAGAAGTTTTTCCCATAGGAATGCCTATCAGTTGGCTGATGATTAGAGAGGAGATCTTTGAGAAGGTGTGGCCAAGATCAAACTCAACAAATCTGATGATATCACAGAATTTGACCCTACTCCATCCTCGTTCCCAAGTGCAGTGCCTTTACCGGACTTATTAACTCTAATCGCATTATAACCCTTCTCAATAAAAAAGTCGCATAGCCATTCAACAGCCCGAATGATGGCGTCATGCGGAAGCTTAGTGAACATCTCTTTGATGTCGAAGCTGGCTGACAGTAGCAATCCGTTAGGGAATTTCTTTGCCTTCGTATTAAGATTCCCAACCCGTTTCTTCAGTAAGTTCGTACTCCTCAAGTTAAAATGGTAGGATTCCGGGATCCTCCAAAGAAGCCCATTAATAGCTTTAGAAATAATCCTGCAGTCTCGGACACTCGGTTCAGAGAAAGACGGGGCGATAGGTCGCCACCTACCTACATCCTTGTGTTTCGGTATGCCATATACCGAACCCAGAATCCCACGTCCATCCCAAGGCGCCAACATCTGTCCATGGATCGCAAAAACTTCCTCCTTGCAGGTCAACAAAACCTCCTGTTCCTTTCTGTCGATAATCTCAAAACCCTCGTTCTCCCAATAGAGCTTCGCCAATGCATCATAGTAGATAGGTGGACAACACACATAGGTGTCACCTATGTTGTGATCTATTGGTGAGACGACCAAATCAACAAGGTTTTCCTTCCATTTTACAGTCTGATCTTCAGACCACGAACAACTAGTGGTTTTATCGGTAAAACAGGACTGGACCATTCTCGAACTGCGCACCCATCCATCCTTGCTCGGGACATGTGCCAAACCTTCAGCGATAGCGCTTGATCCTTCCGACAGACTGAGTTTTGGTAGGGTGGAGGACATTCCTAGAATTTCTCAAAAAAGGTGGGATTTCTCAAAACTCCGAAAATCTGAATCTAACATGCCCCTCACTATTTCTGGGAAAGGACAAGTTGCTTCTCTTACACGAACATACTTTAGAGCATTCTTTAGCCATGCGCCTATGGTTGTGTAGAATATCACCCACAGACTTGTTCTTGGTCCAAACTATCATGAGTTTCGAGATCAGGAATTCAGCAACCAAATTGTCGGAACACCGTTTCCGAATCACCAATCTGACCAGATCACCAACCATGGATTTTCGAATCTGGTCATCGAAAATCATCTTCACGACCGTTGGGGCTAGACAGCGAAAACCGCACACAGTCGTCAAAGCTCTTCCTACTACCCCTTTAAGTATAGTCCGGGATTTTTCCCTATGGAACACCTCAATCGAGTTGTAGAGTTTAATCAAATGGTGAAGACTAGACTTATTCAGATCATTTCTGCAGTTCGACACCTGAAGTAGGGAGGCTAGGATATCACGTCTAAAAATGGACATGTTACCCCTCCGTCTCAGACTTAAAATATGAAAGATACCTCCATTCAACATTTCAAATTTCAAATCTTTCAGCAAACATTTTTTACTATTAAATTCAACGATGGTCCAACCGAACAGTCTTTTCACCTGACCCCACGAGTCCAAGAAGATGTCACCACCAGTACTTAGCAAATTCGCATGAATAGATTCATCCTCAAGTAGTCTATTAAAGACTCTGATGATGGAAAAAGAAGGGGAAGGAGGGGACCAAGGTTGGGGAATAGGTACAAAAATAGATGACACATCCCAGCCAACGAATTTAATATCCTGTCCCTTCGGAGCTTTATGGGCCCCCTGTTTTTTCGAAAAAGCTCTATGTTCCTTTCGCCCTTTGCGTCGACAAGGGGTTCTCCTCTTCTTAACACAATTAAGTGTCGGTGACTATCTAGAAATCATGGCCTCTTCCACTTCCCTAATCTCCTCCAGAGGTGGAAACGCAATAAGAATGGCTATGTAACTCAACCAACCGTTCCGTTTGAACCATCTTCTAAGCTTATGGTTACGACCGTCCTCTGAGTGTAAAGACCTCCTAACCTCCTCATCCCATCTTGTGTTCAAAGGACGGGTCGTGAAACCAATATAGGATGATCTGAACCAGGGAGATATCAGAACGTAGACACACGGGCTATTTCAACCACAAACATCAATACCATTATTCAGTGAGTGCACCCAACATCCCACAAACTTTTCGGCCCACTGCAACTGATCAAAACAGACCAACGTCAGAATGAGAAATCGCATAAGCATATCAATCCGAGCGGCACTTGTGCCACGCCATCCATCCATGCACCTCTGATTCCTGACTTGCTCCAGGTACTTCCATGTGGATGGGAGATCTAAAAATTATCAAGAAGGATTCTCTTCTTGAGTATCCTCCTCGGAGTCTTCATCATCTTCATCTTCTCCATATGCATCGATGGCATGAAGCTTGGCGAGGGCGGCGGTGGTGATCTTCTTATTCACATACTTGATGCGATCTTTCTTACACAGCTCCTCCAATTCATGCTTAGTTTTCAGCATGAGCTCATAAATCAAATCCTCAATGTACTTCTCTCTCCCTTCTTTTCCCGGACCAGCGACAACAGCCTTCTTGCCGCGGTTGATACGGTCGAATCCCAGATCTTGAGATGCTCCTTCGTTGATGGAGATTCCTGACGAGCGGCGTCTTGGACCATTGCCTGCGACAGATGCAAACATCCCGGCAAGACGCGCTGAAAACSCATGACCTGCAGGGGTTACAGGAAAAGCATTCCTCCCTCTGGACGGTCCAGGTTCAGTTTCCGCACACGACCTTCTGGAGACAGGGGGGTTAGAAGGAGGAGGAGGAGGTGGATGACGGGAGCGAGGTGCAGGAGGAGCTGGAGTTGGTTGCGGGGCAACGGGTGGAGGAGGTGGATGTTGGGGATGCTGGGGAGCAGCCTGCGTAGCAGTAGCAGGAGGGGGAGAAGGGGGCTGATGGGAAGGATGATGTGGCTAAGGAGGAGGAGGAGGGGGAGGAGGAGGAGGAGCAGGGTTGTGAGGTGGTGGGACATGGTGTAGCGGATGCGGTGGGACAGCTGGCGGGGTCAGAAGTGCAGCTCCCTGCTCCTTAATCATCTTCAAGCAATTCAACATTTCCTGAAACAGAAGAGAGTGTGACTCATGCGCCCTTCTCACATTATCCAGGTCCATCCGCAGGAGACCAGTGTCTAGCTGCGTGGCTTCAGCGTCGACACGTTGCTGCTGTGGTACAGGAGTGTTGCCAGACATCGTAACTTGGTCTCTCTTCCGATTATCAGGTCCTTCGCTATTCTTGCCGTTCACATCTACCTTCAGAGATGTCTCTGTTTTTTCTACCTTCTCCCAAACTTTCTTACTAATTTCACCGGAAGCACCTCCCTTCTTGGCTTCCATCTCTTCAAACTGTTCGTGAACCAGCCGTGTCATCCTGGCCTCTCTATCGGCCTCTTTCTTTTCTTCAGCTTCGGCTCTTCGCTCTTTTTCTTCGCGGGCCAGCCTGGCCTGTTCCTCCCTAACACGTCTGTCTTCATCTTCACGCCTTTTTTCCCTCTCTTCTCTTCTGTTGTTCCACATCTCCCTCAGGATCATCATGGCTTCCCCATCTGATCCTATCTCCCGTGGACGATTCCATCCCCTTGCATTAGTCCCGCCAAGAACACCTCGTGGCGGTTGGTATGGCACAATGGCATTACTGGGTGCTGACACGATCACATTTGAGGCCGCTGGAACATTCGATGTCGACCCAATTGATGATGGTACTTGAAGCAACGGCGGCTCCGATACTTGAGATGATAACTGGGGAGGGAGAGGAAGAGGAGGAGGTAGTGGAGGAGTTGATGAGAGTGGTGGAGCCGATGGCACGTACGTGTTATACATAGGACGTCCCTGGATGTAACCGCCATCATGTCTCTGCTGAGAGTCGCCTTGGCCATCATTTCGCCGCGGATAAGGACACCATCAGGCAAAATGCCCATATAACCCACAGTTGTAGTAGTTCTGATAGAACCAGAGAGAGAGAGAGAGAGAGAGAGAGAGAGAGAGAGAGAGAGAGAGAGAGAGAGAGAGAGAGAGAGAGAGAGAGAGAGAGAGAGAGAGAGAG